ACCTTACAAATGTAACCAGTGTGACAAAGCCTTTAGGTACTTATCAGACCTGAAGCAACATCAGACAATTCATTCTGGAGAGAAACCCTACAAGTGTAAAGAATGTGGTAAAGCCTTTAACAGGTACTCAACCCGGAACAGACATCAGAAGACCCATATTGGAGAGAAGCCTCACAAATGTAATACATGTGACAAAACCTTTATGTGGTCCTCACATCTGAAGCAACATCAGAGGATTCATTGTGGAGAGACACCTTACAAATGTGAAGAATGTGAGACATCCTTTATGTGTTTTGCAGACCTGAAGCAACATCAGATAATCCATAATGGGAAAGAAACCTTATAAATCCAAATTATGCAATGAAGCCTTTAAATGCTGATCAACCTGAACAAGAAACTCCATACTGGAGAGAAAAATCTTTAAAAAAAAATATAGCGTGACGAAGCTTTTTGCAGTTTCCCAGGCCAGAAGCATTGTTAGAGACTCTACAGTGGAAGGAAACATAAATGTAAATACTGTGAGAAACCCTAGTCTAAACAATGTGGCAAAGCCTGTAAGTGGAAATCATGCCCAGTCACCATCAGAGGAGTCACTAGAGAAACTCCTTACAAATGCAAAAGCTGTAGCAGAACAGTTAGCCAGGGCTTAAGTCTCACTCCACATACTACAAACTACAGGGAAATCTTCGATGTGTGGAGAATGACAAAACCTTTCCCTTGTGCTCAGCTCTTACTCAATATCAGAAAAGATATCGTTGAGCAACTAGAAAGATACAAGGACCCTTGAAACTATTTCAGATAACGTATAAAATTTAAAGACACCAAAGTATTCATACTGGAGAAAATTTACAAGTAGAAAGAGCACAGAGAAGCCATTAAGTGTCTCTCAACTACTGTTAAGTATGAAAATTCATACTTGAGAGAAACCATAAAAACTACATGTGGAAAAATGATCTCCACCACATACGCTAAAAACTTAAGTCTTCCTCCTAGATAGTAACTTTACAGATGCAAAATTGCTGAGGATATTTAATTAAAAATCTGATCAAGATTAACACTGGAAGATTTCACTAGATTTATGCTAGACACTAACATTTTCCACACATAATTCTAATTCAGACTATTAGATTGAAATGTTCTAAAGTACAAGTAGATCATTCATTGGTTAGTGAATGGTGGGCTGTCAGTTGCCATCTCAGGGCTATGAGAGACCTACTAGAAAAGCTGGACGGTATTCTCATATACAAAGGTACCTTTCTCGGAATAAGCCAGGAAAAAATCCACAATGTAATCATGTAGGGGATCATTTAATATTGACTTTTAAAGGTGATATGCCAGCCTGAATTAGATGGTCAGAGAATCCTGTGTTATGGGAAAGACCTATAAATTCTAGAAATATTTTTTCTAGAATGTAGGAGAGTTTCCTTCTACCCTTCTATGTTCTTTGGTTACAACTACATTCACGAGACAGATTATCAGCTGAAAATTCGTATTTTCCTAGCTATGAGTTATAAAGAGATAGACAGAAATAAGTGTTTATGCCATCTTTAGCCAAGGAATGTGGTGGGGTCCTGAAGCTGCAAGAAAAAAGCTCAGTAATTCACGGCGTGGTAAGAGGGGCCCATTGGCGTGTTACCTTGCTGCCAGACAGACTGTACTGTAATGGCCTCTGGCTGTTACCAATTCTGGGCAAGCCCTCCTATCCACATACTTCTGGGTAGTTTAAAGAGGTTACCCTTTGCCCCTGAGTAGCTTGCCTTCAACTCAAAATAAGCCATTTACCAAAATGGCACATTTTGGAGTTGCTTCTTTTGAACCAGTTGCTGATTTTGCTCTGAGATAAATAGTTTCTGAAATTTCTGATGTATCTTCAGAGTAGCAATATTTTTCGACCTCAGGAATATTAGTTGATGTGGAAATAAATCAGAGACGTCAGGGAAAAGTGAATGTGCTCTTGAATTGTAAAGGTGTCACAAACTCACTTATTAAATATGACACTGGAGATAACAAAATAAATCCTGTCAGAACAAGAACGCCTCGAGAATCTGTCCTAAGGTCATGAAACACACATCCGTGTTCTTTAAAGGATGGGTGCACATTCTGAAATACGCACTTAGGTGATTTTCTGTTGTGAAACATAATAGACTGTAATTACTGGTCTCTAGACGTGCTCACCTGTTACACAGCCAGGCCAGGGGAGGGCCATTGGGACAGTGGTGGTCCTCTCAGGACCACCACTGACTAACACGACCTTAAATGATGCGTGACTGGATTGGATTTTGAAGTGTTTGATGTAATATATGTGAACTCAGTATTTTCTAATGAATAGAACTGAATGGCTTTCCATGTGTTGTCACTGATATGTGGTTAATAAAGTGTGATGATGTCAATAGCATCAATTTTTATTAATGATCATTTAAAGCTGTGGATAACAAATGGTAATTATGTACTATTAAGTGACCCAGGGAAATATCTCTAATAAACACTTTCCTCAGTAGCCTTAAAACAAAAATAAACTATGTTGTTTTGTTAGTATGTTTTACATTTTATACAACTGAGTATACACAGACAAGTATAAAGTGCTTATTTTACACATAGCTTATGTTATGCATGGGATATTACACTTCATGCCACCACCTGGCATCATTATGATGAACATTACGTTACAGCAAAATTAGAAGGCACGCTCTGGATTGACATAGCTATAAATAAGATCTTAAAGCTTGAGTATTTTATTTTAGCTTTCTGATTGTTTTGTGCTCATTTCCAGTTACTGTTTTTACTTGCATTTCTTTGATATTAATAGAAGTATTAAGCCGCTTCTTTTCCTTTTTTTTAACATTACATAACATCTTGATATATCACCCCATTTTTCGTATTATGTTGTCTCTTACTAATGAGTTTCTAGGGTTGTCTTAGACATGCTTCACATGAGCTCTTACTCTCCCTGCTGTTCTTTTTGCCTTTGCTGTCTCTGAAAATAATCAGTTTTTAATTTTAATATCTCATTTGCCATTTTCTCTTTGTTGGTAATGTCCTTTGCTGCGCACAAGTTTTTCTTCTTATGAGCCACAAAAAGCTTCCTTTTTAATGTTGTCAATAAATCTAAATGTTATATTTATCATGATAATTTATGCTGCCACAAATTTTAATTTTGATATTTATCAACCCATTTAGAATCTTTTCATAGTAAGCATATTTTTCAATTACTGCTAGGTTTCAGTTTCTTTTGAAGACATTTTTATTGAGCCTTGCTTTTTTTCATCACCTCCCAATGATTCAGTGCAGTGTAGATCTGACTGCTGTGAGTTCTCATGGACACTCAATATTCCTACCAGCCGAAATCCTAATCCCGCAGTACCCATTAGTAGCAACATCTTCCTACCTCTACCTCTACCTCTACCTCTGCCTCACAGAATAGATAATTGCCATGTTTTAACGGGAATTTTTAACATGCTAGGGGACCACTTGCCATGGGGATCTCTTTTTTCCCTATGTTTTTCTTTTTGCATAGAACTGGGTGCAGGCCAGAAGTGCAGAGGTTGAGAGAATTAACCAGAGACAGCATGGGAGCAGAACACATGGCTCTACGGAAATACACTGCTAAGGGGAGCAGCAGGGAGACGGGTCTGCTTCCTACGTGGGTCACTCCCTGGCTGGCGATCAAGCTCAGTGACAGTGCTGGGACAGCCTGTGGGCCAGTAAGGAGGCCCTATTCCCCTTCTGCCAGCTCCTGTTCGCACTGTCTTTTTCAAGCATTTTTGTACGGTACCCTGACTGGCGAAATAAAGATTCTGTCATGCCGCCTGTTAAATCCGTGGTAAGTTTGTATTCAGACCATTTTAAAATGTATGTTAAGTTCCCATTTATTCAGTTGTGATCCAAACCTACTGCACTCTTAACATCCACCTGTGGGCTGTGAACAGAAAGGGGGACAAATGTGTACATAAAGCTCCCTGTTGTGTAATAACCCCTTCTTTGGTTTCTTACTAAGGCATCTCATGTTTTTTGATCGAATCAGTGAAACTCAGGCTAATATGTTGGATTTGCCCTTCCGTTAAATCTAAGACCTTTCAAATTTCTGAACAGAGTTGGCGGTGTTATGATGCCAAGAGGGACATGACGATCTCAAGCACTGACACAAGCTATGCAACCTCTGTCGACAGACATGGTCCGGATGGAGGGGAAATGCTCTGAAAAATCAGACTTCCCATGCTAACTTATGTTATGACCTCCCTTTTTGTATAATCATAACATCAAAATATTCTGAGCAACCTTCAGTTTACAATTGGATTCCCTCAGCCGCATAAGGCGCTGCCTGGCCCTGACAAGCAACCACTGCAGCAGGGTGAGAAATTCCTCTTGAAGTCAAAAATGACTTGACAACTGGCTGATTAATAAAAACAAATGGCTGTTACTGCAAAGTCTCTCTCACTGCCAGACTGAGGAAAACCCAAATCTTATCACTCTATCTCACACAGACTTCTATTCAGTTTCTAAATAACCACTCAAGCTTTCTACTATCTAGTCTTTAGATACGGAAATTCACCCAAGTTGCCTGTGCAGAGCTAATCAGGTTTTCTACCTTCTAGACTTCAAGAAAACTCAAACTTTCTAACAGATTTTTCAAAGAACTTTACTATAATTTGATTTACAGCAAATTTCCTCTGCCTGCCCTCACTTTATTTTATCCCCTAGGATGTCTCTATGAGAATGAAAGCCGTTAAGTAGTAAATAAGGTTTAAGGGACTTTATTTTGGTTAATCTTCACTGTGGTAAATGTAGTAATATTAAAATTCAACGTATGTTCAGTTCAAAGACTTGGGTCATTTGAACTGGCTCAGAACAATCTAAATGGTTCCCAAAGGATAACACTGAATGCTTTCTAGGAAGAAAAGAGGGAAAGGGGCTAGAAACATTAGTGCTGACAAGCTGAAATGTTCAAGCTATATAGAACAGTTACTTACTCTCTGGAAAGGATGAACATGAAACTGCCTCCAACAATTATTTTCTTGATGGTTTCTTAATATAAGTGCATTGGGTACAGGGCCCTCCTTGATGGTGCAATAAATTAAAGCACAGAACTATGAAGCCACCACAGCCACTGCAGCACGAGTTTGATCCCTGGCCAGGGAGCTGACCCACATGGCACGGCAGACGTCTCCTGTCTCCTCTCTGCTCCCCTCAGCAGGCTACTTCATCAGTCCGCCTTTTCTGCTTTCTGCTCTGTCTCTGATGAATCCTCTCACCGCCCCCTGCACCTCTGGCCTGACCCCAATTCTGTATGCATAAATAAATACATCTTTAAAAGATTATAAAACAATCAC